GGGAAGGCAGAGGAGGCAGAGGAGGCAGACGGAGGTGGGCGGGCGCCGAGAAGCAAGTGGCAGGACTCAACATCATCTGGGGGGTGGAGCAGTGGCCTGAGACACCGATCACTTCCAGGCTGCTGATGTGCCTGGGACGAACTAGGGAGGTGGTCTTCATACACACGCAGCGCAGGTCCTCATCTCCTCCTTCCAGGTCCACTGGGGGTTGGGTCCGGGAAACGGCAGTGAAAGAGAGAGTGGTGACTCCGGGAATCCCCATACTTAGCTTAGGGATCTTTCTCACTGCGTTTGGCTTTCATTTCCTCCCCCACAGATCCTACCTCCCTCAGAGAAGCGTTATTGACCAGATGGTGAAGCGCACCCGGCGGCAGCGCTTGGCACAGCGCCCGCACACCTAGCGAGACCTCGAAAGATGCAAGATTCTGCCCCAGGCCTAGGGGTTCCCCGACTCTCCCGCTCTGCTTCCGCGTGTCCCCCGGACGCCTTATTCAGCCCCCACCTGTGCGGAGGGCGACCCTTGCTGGCAGGAGCAGCAGCCCCAGGAGCAGCAGCCGGGCGCCCCGCCAGGGGCTGGGGGCGCGGGAACGCGCTCCGACGCTCATGTCCAGCAGGTGCCGCAGAAGCCGAGCGTGCAAGGGCAGTCGGGGCTGGGGCTTAGCTGGCCAGTGGCTCCCAAGACTCTCCAGGCCCCTTTTATTCCCAGGGTCCGGAAGCTTGGGGTGGAGGATGGGGAAGCTGAGCTACTTCTGGGAAGAGCTAGGCTCTGGCCAGCCAAGATTAGGGAGGGCGGGAAAAGCCTGAGGTCAGTTGTCCTGGCTGGGAGCTGAGAGTAGGATCCTCAACTGCAACCTGAATTCATACACATGCACGCGGGCGTAGTTAGAAACAACCCTTGAACCTTAGGTGTCTGTTGCGTTATGTGTTACGGTAGAATTCTCTGCCACCACATGTTGCAGTTTACAGGGCTGGGACCTTCAGACCTGAGACAGTTTCTGTTTCTTCCCAACTCCCAACTTTCCAAGCACTGCATACTCCCACCTGCCTTTCCTACAGATTACCAGTTACACATTATCAGTTGAGTTGGGTGGCTGTGGGTGTTCAAGGTGTGTCCTTAGTAATTGTTTTCTGGCTGGTAAAAAGTTGAATGTGGTCTTCAGAGGATGACTTAGTTTTTAATTTCACCCGAATGTGGAAGGCTTCCTCAGTCTCTTGATCTATCCCGCCGGATCAGCCTTCATCCAACATACTCTAGGGAGCAAAATCTGTTATCCTCAGCTATCCTCTTCCTTTGAGAAAAATTGTAAAAGTAATATTTGAACGCATTCCTTCTGTAAAAACTCAGTGCCTAGATGTTTCTCTGCTGGGCTGGGCCCAGAAATGAGGTGGAAAAGGAGAGTTTCCAGGCCGCCTTTCCCAAGCCAGTGCCAGTTTAAGGCAGGCTGCCCTGCCGGCCGGAGCAGTGATGCTCTCAGGAGGACACAGGGCATCCAGGAGTGGAGCGTGGAGAAGATATGGAGGAGTGGGTGGAGGGCATGCCACAGAATCCCACATAGGAAAGGTCAAGAGATCAATATGGACCATCTTCCCTTTCCTGAAAAAGGATGACTTGGGCTCTTGATTAAGGCAAAGGATGCCCTCATCTCAACGCCAGAGGCTTTCTGTCACACTGATTAACAGCGGTGACGGGCATCAGTAGCCCACTGCCGGGAACTAGCTGGTTCTGAATGCTCAGCAGGAACCAGACCTCTGCGGGAGTTAGCAGCTTACTTCCTGGGCCTCCGAGGTTCTTTCTCTTAGGATCCCACCACTTGCCTTTCAGTTGACTAAGTCCTATTCGAATTTCTGGTGTTAGCCTAACATCACTTCCTTAGAGAGGTCTTTCCTGATGGCTACAGCTAATTGTGTTCCCTGTTGGGTTTTTGTAGCACCCTCTGCCTTTGCGATTTCTCACAGATCTTCCAAACATGCACACAGGTACATTTTTTGGTAAAGATTTTATTTATTTCTTTGAGAGAGAGAGAGAGACACACGTGAGTGGGGGGAGGGGCAGAAGGAGAGGGAGATAGAATCTCAAGCAGACTCCCTGCTGAGCATGGAGCCCAACATGGGGTTCCATCCCAAGACCCTGAGATCATGACCTGAGCGAAATCAAGAGTCAATCAAGACACTCAACCGATTGAGTCACCCAGGCGCCCCGAACACATGTACATTAGACACACAGATAGATATGCATATGAGTGTGTGTGTGTGTGTGTGTGTGTTTGAAAATGTTTAAAATGTTTTCCCTCCCCAGATGGAAAGCTCTACGAGGTGAGACATCATAACGTTTATCATTATTCTAGCACATGGGTAGGGACTTGATATAAAGAACTATATTCATGAAGATAATAAATGTTGAAAATGATTCTGAGGCTTTGATTTATTCACGTGTCGTTTCTTTACTAAGTTAGAGCATGTCTGTATATTAACGTGTGTCCCATATGGTTGTGATGATTTGTCAACCTATCTGCCTCTCCTACCAGACAATGATCTCTTCAAGGACAATTCTGTGTGACTTACATTTTTTTAATATCCAGCACCCAATGCAATGACTGATACAGAATATGCTGTACCTTAGACCAGTTTATTGCTTTAAAACTTGAGATCCGCAGTAAGGTTAGTGGCAGAGGGAATAGATAGAAGGAATGGTTTGGGCTATGAATGGGGGGCACCCTGGATTTGTGCAACTTTACCCCTGGATTTCAGTATTTGCAGGAAGTAGTAAGTGACGATTAAATGATTCTTTCTGTGCATTAAATGAAATAGTTTAACATGTGTACATGAAAATAAAAGACATCTGCCTCTGAGGAGGAACAGTTTAGTGGAAGAACTCTGTCATGTCTCAGGAGCTGGCACTGTTGGATTTCAGTAGGAAGCCACTAGAGAAATAAATGAGACGTCTGAGCTATTTTGGAATTATTGGAGAAAAGTTAATGAAAATGACTGCAATCCCCACTTACTGCTTTGATGTATATATATATATATATATTTGTAGTTGTTGTTATTAACTATTACTTAATAAATGCATTTATTTTGTGGACAAACCATTTTAAGGCACTGAGCCTGTGATGAGGAGATAATAAAAGGAGATCTTAATATACAAAATTCGTAGACTAAATGCTTACTACATGAGTGTTCCCCAAAGTCCGTGTGCAGGTTGGGGTTGATGAACGTACTTCTTCGCCTATAACCATCACAATATGCTACTTATGATCAGGTCCTATTTTGTGTGCCAATAACGTGTGATATATAATGTAATCTCTTTATTAGCAAAAGAAGAATCAAGGAAAGCAGTGTGGTGGTTAAAAGCAGAGTTTCAAATCCCCACTCTGTCACCTACCTAGTTATCTGATCTTGGGGCAAATTTCCTAATCTCTTTGAACTTCAGTTTTCTTCTCTATAATGCTGGGGATGCTTATAATAGAATAATAACAAATAGTCGCTAACATTTATATATGGGTCATTGTGTAACATGCACACTTCTAGCCCTTTGAATTTATTAACTCTTAATTTTCACATCAACTCTGTGAGATAAGCAGTATTATTATCCCATTTTAGAGATGAAGAAACTAAGGCATAGAGAGGTCTTGCAACCTGCCCAAAGTTACGCAGTTAGCAAGTGGTAGAACTATTTACCCAATTATGCTCTCTGCAGAGGATGTCCTCTTATAGCTATCTTGTGAGAATTATTTCATTCATACATACAAAACACTCAATATGCCTGGTATATTAAAATTTATCAATAAAGTTTAGCTATTATTATAATAAATTAAAAATGACACAAATCATCAACTGGTGATTTTGTTTGCTAGATTGTGGAATACTGAAGTGTAAAAAAACCCCAAAAAGGTAATTAAGGCATTTTTCAACAGTTCTGTTAAAATTAATAATATATGACAACAAAACAATAACAAATTTTGATTTCATGTTAATACTTGTGCAAGAATAGTGTTGGTGTAAATTTCAGGGATTAAGAAATACCAGAGGGAGGGGGGAGAGAATGGGCAAAATGGGTGAAGGGGGATAGGAAGTACAGGCTTCCAGTTATGGAATGAGTAGATCATGGAGATAAAAGGCACGGCATAGAGAATATAGTAAATGATGTTGTAATAATGTTGTAACGAGACAGCTACACTTCTGGTGCGCACAGCATAAGGTATGGGGAAGTTTAATCACTATCCTGAAATGAATGCAACATTGGGTGTCCACTATATTCAAATAAAAACAATTTTAAAAAGAATGAAAGGTCTGTTGATTACAAAACAATACTTATAAGTCTGATAAAGTTTACATTTTTTATTTTACTCATTCACAGGGTTGGTTCTCATACTAAAATTGTAACCATGCAGATATTAAGTGAATGCAAATATATACAAACATGTCAGGTTAAAACATTTAACACTATATAGAACCTCTATTATTATTATTATTATTGAAAATACTGGAGTTTTCTAATAGAGAATGTTAATGCTTTTCATCATATGTTTTTTTAAAGGTTTATTTATTTATTTATTTGACAGAGAGAGAGAGAGAAGCAGCAGAGGGAGAGGGAGAAGCAGATTCCCCGCTGAGCAAGGAGCCCAATGTGGGGTTCCATCCCAGGACTCTGGGATCATGACCTGAGCCGAAGGCAGCCACTTAACCGACTGAGCCACCCAGGCACCTCTCATCATATTTTTTTTTATTCTACTCATATTAAATATATTCTCTTTAAAATAAATAACCACTGCTTACAAGACTCACTTTCTACAACTTTATTCTTTTTAGGGTTTGAAGGCTAAAATAAACACTGGAAATATCTTCCAGAAAATGCTTTGAAACAAGACATCCTAAGACTAAGACAGTGAAAAACTCCATTAAGCGCCTAAATAAATTAGCAAACATTTCTTGAGCAAGTGCTCTATTCTGGGCTCTGTGTGATTCCAAATATCATTGACCATTATGGAATCTATTAATCATCATGGGCATAGCTAGTCTAACAGTAAGGTAGAGCAAGATAGGTTAATGCACATGTAAGTATTTGAAAAGAAAATTTTAAATAAATGAATGCAAAGCAGAGCGTCACATTTAACCAAGAGTTAGGGAATAAACCATACATTATATTTTGAAAGTAAGTTTGCTTATTGTCATCTTCTCTCTGTCATCTATTAACCAGCCTTCTCAGAATACCATGTGACTTTTTGAGGCAGAATGGAAAACATATCCAAAGTTTAATACAATACGAATAGGAATTTTGGATAAATAAGAACTCCAGAAAGTCAAGCCTTCAAACTCCTCCCATTCTTGGGAGATAAAAAGGTTTGACAAAGTGAACCAATTAAGCCGTTGACCCATCGCTTTCCAAAATTTTCTGGACTATTTTCTTGATTTTGGGAGCTTCTGGGTCCAGGCAGATTTTCTTTCCTTTCTTCAGTGTGGCTCTGCAAGAGGGAATGGAATTTTGTGAGTGCCCTGGCGTGACTCTCAGAAAGGATCCACGGGGCTGGATACAATAGAGTTGACGGGGAGAGAAGAGAGTTTCCCTAACGCCCAATGAGGCAATGATTACAGAAGCAGAGACTTACATCCCTTGAACATTGGCACAATGGGGTCCTGCTCTGAGCACCTCCAATTTTGGATGTTACTTGGATGAATGCCAGAGATGGTCTTCATACACATGCAGTAAAGTTCAAAGAACTGTTTCCTGTCCACACTTTGAGCTAGGGTAGAAAGTGTGGCTCGATTAGCCATTGCGATTATTGCGGAGATCTTATCTCTTGACTTGTTTCCTTAGTCTCCTTGCTCGTTAACTGTACCTCTCTCATAAAGCCACTGGGTATATGATCGTCTTCAAACCTTCAGTAAAGTACCTTAGCAGAGTGCCCACGAAGCATCTCCTCGCCGCCTAGAGTTACTAGTATAATGCCCGTCTCCC